TCTATCTCATAGCGTTCTTTAATGAAGAGATGTTGTAGTTGTCTATCTCATAGCGTTCTTTAATGAAGAGATGTTGTAGTTGTCTATCTCATAGCGTTCTTTAATGAAGAGATGTTGTAGTTGTCTATCCAATGGGAGTATTAACTATGGTTGCTCCAAAAGTGGAGTTGAGCTATTTTTATGCTAATGGGGCATATCTGAATGTAGATCAGTTGATATAAATAGTATGAATGATGCCAAAGCATTCCTGCATAGGTGGCTACCTTAGAGTTACAAAGTTCTATCTGACTTTTTTGGCCGTTTTGAGTTGCTAAGACCGTGAGGTTAGAGACCAAATGTGCTATCTGCTCTATCAAAATCATAAGATTTTGTGAAGTCATTGTCAACATATTCACATAATTGCATTTAAAAAGTCTTAACATGTTGCGAAACTCAAACTATTTTACATCAAAATTGTTGTAACTGGGTACTGAGCAGATACAACTTTGTATTTCTAAGGTAACGAGTTGAGCGATGCTGAATAAGCGTATTATGGACAAGGATAGTGGAAAAGGAACTATTGAAAATAGTCAAGTAGTGACTTCTATGCAATGAAATAGAGGGACGTTCTCATTCAGTTACTAGTGACAGTAAGGATTTTAGATATCGTTTCTTCAGCTTGGTAGGTCTACTTCCACATAGACATATCGGGAGGGGCATACATCAGGACCTGCTAGAGGGCCAGGTGGTGTAGAAATGGGGGGGGGGGTCGAGGGTGTGGTCATTGTAAACGAACAATGCAAAGGCTGTCAGGGAAGATAATTTTATACGCTGTTTGAAATTTAGAAAAATTTCACAAACAGTCTGCCTTTTCCCCGATACGCCCTAGCATTCACATTTTAACTTGAAAGTTCCAAAATTAATTTATTTGGGCTCTGGAAACCGCTCATGGCGAATGCAATCGGTACAAAATGGGTTAAGTGTACACTTAGCTGTTTCGTTTTGCTATCTTGTGACCCAAGTTATTTTATCCGAGAATCGTATGTTGATGCTGATTACTGGCAATCATTCATTAATAACTGCATAACAATGTTAGTTCATGTATTTAAAGTTATGAAGAAACTTCATCGTAAATCTGCGGTCACATACAGGAAAAAAGAGAACGATTGCTGTTGTGGTGGAAGATTCTTTGTGGTGGTGTTGCACAAACCAAGATGTCACTGTGTGTCTGTATGATGATAGTGTCTCGATTATGTCAGGCTAACTTTGTGTCTTTGTCTGTGGCTAGACTACCGGGCTCGTAATCGTGAGGTTGCGGGTTCGGGGGTTCGAGCCGCGGGCCCGACGTTGTGTCCTTGGGAAAGGCACTTTACACTAATTTTCCTCACTTCACCATAGTGGGAGTGGGTACCTGGCAATAGACAGTGTGAACGTCCCTCGTGACACATTGGAGCAGAGGAAGATAGGACTAACGCTACCATTACTGAAACGCAATCTCACATCACAACTCACCACCACCATTATTTCTCAAAACCAACATTGTTCTCAGATCAATGACTTACATCTATAATCCTTGAATCTCTCTCTGTAACAGTTACTTATCATACTAAGTACCTACGTAATACTCTATTGGACATTATCATGCGCACTTTTTTTCTGCTAATCAGATGGCGTCAATGTCATATAAATAGGCAAGGGATAAAAAAGAAATATAATTTTTTTAATTTCTTGGTAATCTAGTATTATTTTCTTCCACTCCCAGGTAGAACATCCGAACGCCCACATGAAGAACGCGTGGAAGAAGGTGATCTCCTCCCAGAGGAAGAGAGCAGTGATGGCCTGCTTCAGGATGATCCCGCTACACAACATACCCAGGTGAACAGACAGAGCCGGAAAATACATCTTGTGTGTTTGTAGAAACCAAACGTTCAAAGTCAGATGAGAGCTCAAATGTAAAGCTTTATAATCTCTTCGTAATTTGCTGTATCTCTTTATTTCTCTCTCTCTCTCTCTCTCTCTCTCTCTCTCTCTCTCTCTGTC